TGCTCAATGCCTTATGTTTTAGCTTCTTAGCAGTCTGGTCTTTATCCTTGAATAAAGTCTTGCCAACAGTAAGAAAGCTTTCAAGAAAGCTTCTCAGAAAATGATATGTGCCTAATGCATTTGATCATTTCAAAATCTGAAGGAAAAAGGCTTTAACAGCTTCTCTTGTCCAACCCAGCCTACCAGCTTCCTCAGAGACCACTTACAGTTCAGGAGACAACTCACTTCAAACTGCAGAAGCCATCAAATTAGCAGACAGAGAGGAACACCAGCTTCCACTCGGAGCTGCGGAGTTCCCTCAGGATAATTTTGCACAGGTTTAATAACCTGAATGAGTTCATGGAGGGGAACAACAAGTAACACAGACTGTACAGCATGAAGGGGTCGGGGGCAAGAACACCGTGGCCAGAAACGAGACCTTTCTGCTCAGAGGGCAGCAGCCCTGCTGTCAGAGTGAGAAGGCAGCAGTGCCCCTTCCAGGATGAAATGAATCGACAGCCTCCACGGCTAGCAGGGCAAAGCCTCGAGCTTTAACACGGGTGGAAGGGCATCTGAGCTGTTACAGGGTTTGCATTAAATCTGAGCTGTATCTGAGACCAACAGCAGAAGCAGCTTGGAGGGAGAAAAAGAAGAAACTTCAATGAAGGCCCTAATAGCGTTTCTGTCGAAACATCTTTGATACCCACCTGCATCCACTGGTGTTTGTCCATTAACTCTTTACTCACGAGGATCAATCTTTTAATAGCTGTTGCTTAAAATCCAAGTACCTACACTGAAGTGTAAATTAAAGCATGCTAATACAAATTTGCTTGAAGGCTTTTTCATATTCCTGTTTATGTGTTGTCCCAGAAGAGTGGCATTAAGAAAATCGAAAAAAAAATCAAATGGAAGTGATGTGGAAGGTGTTCCCTTGTGATGAGAATCAGTATTGGTTCCAAAAGTAGCTTCAGGGGAAAAAAAAGGAGGAAGGGAAAAGGACAAGGCAAGCACCTTGCCAAGACAAACAGAACTTAATCTGTAGCAGGAAGAAGAAAGAGTACCGCAGGTAAGGCTGGTACACAAACAAAGAAGTGAAAGACTCTGATTGCTCTTTTATTTTTTATTTTTTTTTTTGAAGAGTATTGTCTTGCTCATTTTTGCCTTTTTCAAAAAGCTCCAACATAATTGCCACTCAGAAAAGGGCTGAGGAATATGAGTCAAGAACACACCCTAGACGCATACAAAAACTAAGCAGCAGGAGAACACTTGCAAAACCTAACCTCATGTGAGGTCATCTCCTATAAACAAGGTTTGGGAACCCAAATTGCACCCAAACATTCCTAGCATTGTTCCAAGTAAAATACAAAGCCATACACTGAACTCTTCATTTACCAACTACAACTTGAGGTTTGTAAGTCCTGCCAAGATGCTGTAAAATATCCCCCAAGTAGAAAGTGTGTTACATCGGGCTCAGTTCTCAAAGACCAAGTGAGATTCAGCAGGGAGAGAACCAAAACCAACCCGACCCGAGAGAACCAAGAGAACCAAAACCAACCCGACAGCAACAACATAAAAAAAACCAAAACCACAATTTATTTTATGCACCAATGTCATCTATCACCTGAAGCACCAAATCAGGTACAGGAACAAGCATGCAGGGACCAGCATCTCAGAAAAACAAAAAAAAAAACAAAAAAAAACCACATTTACATTATCCAGAAGAAACAGCAGCCAATTGATCCTGCTTTAGATTCTTCATCTGTGATTGAATTGTTTCCATTTCCATCACTTCATTGCACACGCTGGGAAACTACTGGGGCAGAACAGTTTCAGGTGGTTGACTGTACACACCTTGGACAATCACTTGACCCAATACTGAAGTACAGTCCTCAGAAGTACACTGCCAGGGACGAACAAGCAGGCCACCCAGCTCAGCAGCAGCCTGCAGGTACACAAAACCAGCTCTAAGTAAATCTCCTCCTAAGAGCAAAGTATCTATTGGCCAGCTGATGCATGAATAAAAATCTTCCATATGTGTATTTTGTCCTCAGAGGCTAAAATACATACTTACTACATACTTAAACATGAAACAAAAAGCCAAGGGGACATCAATCTGCAGGACCTACATGCTACCGTTGTCTTACTTGAGTGATGTGAACAGCAAAAGAGATGAACTCCTCGAACAGGAAGCCGAGCAGGCAAACCAGCAGAACTATTTATAAAAAGCCTCTGTATCAAGTGTTAGATATGCCTACATTTGGGCACACAGCCAGCAGAACCCGGAACTCTATTTATAAAGAGAGCAACAACCTCACCAAAACGCCACATCATTTAATTTGAAGTTTTGTAACTAAAACTATTAAAAAAATAAATCAAATATCATACTAATGAATGCTGAGTGCTTTTGCAGATTAAATTGGGTAATCATGTACACAACACTGCATTAATTAGAAGGGAACATAATATCTTTCTTCTCTCTGAACACCTAAGAAAAGTGAAAATAGATGTCTAGCAATACAGGTACATTCGAAGTTAAAAATCCTGCCAAAATTAACCCAAACTCATTAGGTAGATTGATTTGTTTAATAAAAAATAAAGCCCATTCTTTGTTCCCAGTGTATGAACACAGGACATTTTAGAATGATGTTTTTTCTTCTAGAAAATGACATAGTAAGAAAAGTAGACTTACATAATCAGATATTAAATCAGTCCAAGTAATTAGTTTAGGATTTTTTCCTGATCTCTTAGAACTGATCTTCCTTCCTCCCCCCAGAGAGCAACCATATAAGAAGATTAACTTTTTACCTACTGTTTCACTGTGCTCTCAACCAGAACTTTCATAGCTTGCACATTTGCTCATTGCTTTATATAAAAAACAAACAAAAACAAACAAACAGCAAACTAACAAAGCCACACATGAAACACCATTATCACAAAGTTTCAGAAAGGCCTGGTCATCTCACTCGGAAATAACTACAGCAAGATTACTGAAGATAAGAGAAGTGTGAGCTATTGTCCCTGTACCAATTACCCAGCAAGAAGGCTAAAAGAAAAGCTCCCAGAGGATGTCATTTCTATTAGGCAAAATAAACAGCTTTTTTTGTGCTGTTTTAAGGCAGGACTGCCTATTAGGAAAACAAAAGACAGGATTTGATATTTCACAGCCAAAAATGTTTTAAATTGCTTAAGAAATATTTTACGATTTCCTTTTTTTTTTTTTTTCTTCAGAAAGGCACAGGAAGAGAGAGAGGGGAAGAGACACAATACATATGTATATATATATACACACACACCTGATTTCATATATACACATTTACTCTTATTTTACACATTTGTCAAATTAGGCAAGGGGAAGAAATAGAGAAATGAGTTTGCAGATACTTAGATGGGAAAAGCTACAAGTGAAAATGACGACAGAATTAATCTTTCATGATGTTCTCAAACTACAAACAAGAAGATACAAGATCCTAAAATGCTTCCAAGGAACCCTCATTAACTGCAGATCAGTAATGCTGACAGACATTGATGAGTTGGTTTTGCTGTCAGGGCTTTTAGGAGAGACTTTTATACCACTTGGATCTTTAGAGCAAATCTGATGAGTCGTGGCCTCTTCCTCAGTTTCTCAAAGAAGCAGAGACAAGTTATGTTAAAACCTGAACAGAGCTATTATAGTCATACTTCTAGTTTTTCCTACAGTGAAGATGTTTCACTTCACAATTAAAAATCCTTCTCCTCCTCCAAAGGAGCTTGTCCTTTCTCCCTCCAGGACCCCCCCAGTTAACTGAAAACACAGCAGTCCCCAAAAGCAGCAAGGAAAAAGATACTCAAGAAAGCGAAAAAGGGATCCAGAATACGTTCGGCCTTTGGAAGCGTTTCAAAAGCTGTAGTAGCTTCATCGGCTGAATACCTATGAATCAGAATTTATACGGGCAAAGTGAGCCAAACCCTTCGTCACATGTTTTTCTCCCCAACAATAAACAGCACTGTGCAGCCAGCGGCAGGGATTTGCACAGGGCTCACGCGGGCCCTGCTCGGTGTCCACGCGGACCCCCCAAATCCTACAAGGGGAGGCACCTGGGGGGCACCAGGGTGCCGTGCCCTTACCTGGCAGAGATCTCCTACTCGGCAATACGAAGCTTTATGAAGGGCTTTGAAACTTTCTGACGAGCCCGGGGCGGATAAGCCACATAAAAGAAAGTGTGACACAAGCTAAAAATAAGAGAGCGAATTCCGGCCAGGCGCAAGGTACAGGCTGTTAGTCACGGGCACACGAAATGCAGTCGGGGAGCAGGAAGGGGAAAATTGCGTTTGGCGCTGTAAGGAGCTGTCAGTCTGTAATTGAGGGGCTGACGAAACCCGGATCGTAATGCTCGGAAAAATAACAAACAGTGAAGCAGCGCTGTGCCGCGACACCAACACAACCCAAAACAGCCGAAACGCAGCTTCCAGGCAGAATTGAATTCAGCCGAGCGAGCTCGTTTTATCCCCATTTCCCCAGCTTTGCCCAGCACCCTTCCAGCCCCGGCTGCGGGGACCCAGCACCCACCCCCCTGCAGCGAGGGCGCAGCGGGCACGGCGCCTGCCGCCCCTCCGCCCCCCGGCACCCCGGGACCCTCTCGCCCGAGGGGTCCGTGCCCGGGTCCGGGTCCGTGGCCGTGGCTCTCACCTCTCCTTGGAGTACAGCTCCTGCTCCAGCCGCCTCCTGCGGATGAAAGCCATGGAGCCGCCCGGCCTCCCCGCCGCCGCCGCCGCCGCTGTCGCAGCAGGCCGGGCCAGGCCGCGCCTCAGGGAGGCGGGGAGAGCAGGGCCGGCCCGGCGGGTCGGCAGGGTGCCTGCCCTCAGCTTCCTTCCTCTTCCCCTTCCCCTTCTCTTTCCTTCCTTAAAACTCAGGCTGTGCTGGTTTTCATCGCCGCAGGTCCCGAGGAGCAACCCGCGTCGCCAGCTCGCAGCAGGGCCTGTGCCCGAAGTGGTGTCGGGGGGAATGTTTTGGGGTTGGGGTTGGGGTTGGGGTTGTCCCTCTCCATGGGGCTTATTCAGAGCAGGAATGCAAGCCTCGTCCTCCTCCCAGGGGTTTAAAACCTAAAAAACCTCCGTGGCAGGAAGAGGGAAATAAAACCCCACACGCTTTTAGTCCGTGTCACTGCAGGGGCATCTGAGCAACCCGTAACGTGTGCGCTGACACGGTTTCACGTGAGGTAGGAAAACACTGTTGTTTGCGTTTTTATAAGTAAAAAACATAAAATAAATTAAAATTGAGTCACGCAGGGAATGTGATTTTTCATGTAGGAATAAAAAGAATTACAGGCTTGTAGGCCTCGAGTCTGTCTGATCTAATCTCTGTGCTGAGGCTGATTCAGATATATGTTGATCAGTGTTATTCAGACAGTTTCAATTTGTGGACCCATAAACATGAATACGAGAAGTCCTGTATATGCTAAGAATTGATCTGCGTTTGCCATTTGTCTTTCAGGGACGTTTTAGGAGTAGTTCACAGACTCTAAGGAGGCTGTGCGACATGGTTTGAAAAGTGATATCATCCATAAAAAGTATTTCTCTAATTGATTTATAAAAACACCTATTTGAAGGAAATCTACAACACTGGTATGTAGATTGCAACAATGTTTAACTGCACTTGTAAAAATGTATTTACCTTGTATCCCACTTTATTCTTTTACTGCATTCCTTGCTGCCATCTCAAAATGGAAAATGACAATATTTTTATATTGTTCAGGTATGTTTTTATACATCTGTGTGTAAATATATATATGTATTTATTTATACAAGTGTTTGTATGTGTAGATATGTATATCATCTTCACACAGACTACACAATTTTGTTCATTTTCCTCCCAGACTGCATTCATTAAATGATTAATTCTTACTGATTTTCTCTAGTTTCTTTCGAGTATGTTTTTTGCCTTTATCTTAAGGTGTGAGACCCCTTAGAGCAGTTCAGCTGAGGACTAACACCAACTAGAGTCTAGAGTGTAAGAATTACACCTTATGTATTAGACAAAAGAGGAACTTCTATAAATACATCCCAGAAATAAATTGCTTTTCTTCTGACAGTGTTACTTCTGCTGAGAACCTTTTCTAATGTACTTCCACCTACTTCTCCCCATTTTAGACTGTGCATTTGAGTTTTTCTCAGTTGTAACGTTTTGCCTTAGCCCTCCTTCTAACTATAAATACTTAACCAGGTAATAGAAATAGTTGTGAACTCTGACTCTACCTTGTAGCTCCCACGTTGGTGAAAAACATTTACTCTTTTTTTTTTTTTTTTTTTTTTTTTTTAAGTATATATCTATATTCTGTTACATCTCGCAGATCAGTTAAAGGAAATATTGAATAGAACAGAAATGACAACATACCCTGACAGGATGTCCCTGAATATGCTCTTCAGGTTTGTTTTTTGCAAGTAGCATGCCAGTTGGTTGTGATTTCATGAAAACTGTATTTCCTTTACCTTTTTTTTTAATAAAAGTCTCATGGCACAGTCTCCAAACTACAGTAAACTCAAGGTCTATGATACCTGATTTCTAGTAGAAATCAGGTGAAATTGATTGTAAAAAAGGACATTAGATTAGTGTGAGATTATTTGTTCTTGACAAACCCATGTTGACCTCTTAACAAAACAATTTTTCTAGAATATCAGGATTAAAATTAGCGTGTATAGCTGTGGACCTACTTACCTTAGATAGACACATTTTATCCTCTTCTTGTCTTCTGGAACCTGCCTAGTCTTAGCAGTTCAGAGATTACTTTTGCCGTATTATTAAACCAAATTCTTCAGGCTCTATTAATTCAAACCTATATCATCTAAATAGTTTTTAACCCATTCCTTCTCTAAATTCTTTGTAAGATAAATTTAACTAAGTATCTGGGTACATTTCCTTGTTGCATTATCTATCACTTTTTACCTGTCACTCATTTTGTACTGTAGGCTTTGTGATGTTATTCTTTTATTCCCATTCTTTTAGATTACTCTTCAGTTATGTTCCCTTATTGTGGCCTTTTTTTTTTTTTTCAAATCCTTGAAGGACTCCTAATGTAACTTTAACACAGTATACCTAAGCTTTCTACAGTTTCTTTTGTTCACATCAAGATAGCTTGCTATTGTATGTTTAATTAAAAATGAGTCTATTGTTCTCTGTAGAAAATCTAGGTTAGCTTTAAATGACCGAGCACAGGCTATACCATACAGAAGGGAGGTTAAATAACTCATATAGGATGTCATGCTGTTATGATGAACCTGCTTTTAGTACCCAGATTAGCTTGATTAAAGTTAGTTTAACTGTTTCTACATAACAATGTAATCTGTAGTTGGCAGTGGCAGCGTGCTTTTTCTTCCTCTTCTTAGAATAGAGAAGCCTATTTTGCTAAAAATATGCCATGATTGCTTTCACCCGGTTTACCTTCTCCTTTTAAAGTCAAAATGAATTCTACCCTACTTGTCATGAAATTCAGGTTAGTAATGCCTCTTTAATTTCCGTCCCTTGAAGCAAAAGATCATCCCTAAAATGTAACAAGAACTTCATGGACCTTTTTTGCCCTGGTTACATCATTTTTCTCATTTTCAAGTAGTTGAAATCCACTGTTATCTCAAGGGCGAGTTTTTTTTGTATACCTCTATTGCTCGGAATAAGTCAGAAAAAAAGCATGAACTTCCTCCTTTTTAAGAGAGCTATAGTCAGTTATGAAAAGTAGACCCCAGTGGTGACATACTGCTACTTCTGCCTTTTCATTTTCACAAAGATACAATCTCTCCCTTCCTGGACTTGATACAAAATGAAGCACCTTCTCTTGCTTTCCTCTGCCCATTTTCCTTAGCAAGCTGCATTCTTATACAGCTATTGTTGAAGTGTGCTACCGTATCTCTGATGATACTAAAACCATATTATTTCCACAGGTTCGTTAGATCCCTGACATTTGACTTCAAATATCCCTGCATGTCTTTCATGATTTTCTTTTCTCTCTTAATGCTTAATCATTTCTTTCTTCTGTCTTCCTCTCTAAGATTTCTTATTCCTGGCTCTTTGTGGCAGGTCTCTTTTTCAAAGTCTCTCTCTCAAGTTGTTAAAAGATCACCTCCCTGCATATGTTAGTGTCCTCAGATGCTCTTTCCTGTCTTTGTGGAATTCACACCTCTCTTCTCAGTATCGAAGAAATATATTTAAGGAACAATACCCCACAGTCATGTCATTCAGACCTCCTGTCAAACCATCCACAATTCTGTGCAGTTAACCCTTGTATTTATTACAGAATAGCCAATGCCCAGTCCTCCGTCATAGAGGTGTTAGTCTTCCTTCTGTCAGTGTGCTGCTATAATCCTGTTATTCTGGCTAGCTTCCTCTATTCTAGATTTGTGTCATGTCAGCATCATGCTAATGATGTCCTTGTCACCCCTTGTATTTCCCAGGTAAAAACCCCTGCTCATTTTCCTTGTCCTGAAGGTGGAGGGCAAATAATGGAAAGCAGCAGAATGACAAGGCCTACTACTATTATGTTTTCACATTACTGCCATCTTAAAGAAATAAAGGGCTCAGTTAAGTCAAAGTCCATGCATCAGCACAAACTTTAAGGCATACATGATTTTTTCTTTCAGGACTGGAGAGAACATATGAATGTATATCAGGCAGTATCACTGTGAATACAGGAGTCATATATTACATGTAGTATCATATGTACTGTGCCAGCAGTTTTATTAGGGAAGGTTTCTACAATAGTAGAAAAGCTTCTTCCAGAATAGCTTCTGGAAGATATTCTTCAGTAAAGCTTTGTCCTTCAAGTACCTAAAAAGCTTCATGAAATACAATGTTCAAGTATTCCATGTCAATCCATTATGTTCTAGGGAGAGTTTTTAGACATGCTCAGGAGAGCCTTAACCTCATCTGTTGAAGTCAGTGAAATTCCCACTGAATTACTGGGATTGTAAAAGGCTTCCTGAGTGCATTTCAAGGATCCATCCAGTACTATAGTTATGCTGTAGTGTATGGTAATGGCCAATCCTTGACATGTTAATGAAAAGCAGAACTTGTAAAGAATGCTCTACCTATTATTGTTAGAACTGGTGAGAAAACACAAGCACATTTTTCATGCAAAAAAAAAACATAGTCACCTCTCACTGTTTTTCAATGACATTTAAACTATTTTAAATAAGTTTGCCATTTTGTAAAGTTAGCTTTTATTTTTTTTTAAAGGTGAAAACAAATACTTGTACTTTCAGCAAGAGCTTAGGGCAGGTTAAGTCCTGTAAAGCAGATGCTAGCTCAAAGTTCTTTGTGGTATATGCTATCTTTTCATTGTATGTGTACTCACAGCCTAGACTAATATGTCTCTAACTGGTATATCTTGCTTCTACCACAGTAACAATAATAGAATCAACAACATCGGCAGCAACAATAATTAGATGTGCCATGGCTTAACTGTTGTCCTGATCTGAATGATGACTTCGATGTACATGCAGAAATTACACTAATTTGAAAAGAATCATATAAAATTTACCCTCATATCATTGCAAGCTCCACTGTGAACACTTTTAAACTAGTTTTTAATCGGCTTATTTGTACTAAATTCTGCAAAGTTTATTTTTGAGCTAGTTGTGTGTACGCAAAGTGTTTAACTGATTTAAAATCAATTTTAATTAAACCGATTTTGTCAATCAACAAATGCATAATTTACCATTTTACCTGTAGCAAAACAATCCTATAGGCAGATCTTTACAGTCAGCATTTAAAGAGGTACTATAAGAAAAAAAAGTGAAGACACAGAAGAGAGAATTTTGTACAAGTATTTTACACAACAATTTAAACTGACAATTTCATAGGTAGTGTTTCTTGTGAAATCCCCCTGAATGACAACAATGATTAAAGGGAGTACTTGACTAAATGGTTTTGATTTTACTGATATCCTCTACCCAGCCTTCTGCAAAGCATTTGACACTGTCCCCCATGATATCCTTGTCTCTAAATTGGAGAGACATGGAAGTAAGGAATTGGATGGATGGTCTCACTCAAAGAATTACAGTCAATGGATCAACACTGAGGTAGAGACCAATAATGAGTGGTGTTCCTCAGGGGTCAGTATTGGGACCAGTGCTGTTTCACATCTTTGCGGTGACATGGACAGTGGGATTGAGTGCACCCTCAGCAAGTTTGCCGGTGACACCAAGCTGAGTGGTGCAGTCGACGTGCTGGAGGGAAGGGATGCCATCCAGAGGGACCTCGATGAGATGGGCCTGTGCAAACCTCAAGAGGTTCAACAAGGCCAAGTGCAAGGTCCTGCATCTGTGTCAGGGCAATCCCAAGCACAAACACAGGCTGTAAGGAGAATGGAGCGAGAGTAGGCCTGAGGAGAAGGTGTCTGGGGTGTTTGTTAATGAGAAGCTCAACATGAGTCAGCAATGTGTGCTTGCAGCCCAGAAAGCCAGCCGTATCCTGGGCTGCATCAAAAGAAGCATGGTCAGCAGGGAGAGGGAGGTGATTGTCCCCTCTACTCTGCTCTTGAGTTTCAGTTTGAAACTGTCCCCACCTTGAGTTTCAGCTCATTTAGCTCTGGGGCCCCCAGCACAAGAAGGATATAAACCTATTGGAGCGAGTCCAGAGGAGGACCACTAAGATGATCATAGGGCTGGAGCGCCTCTCCTATGCAGAAAGGCTGAGAGAGCTGGGGATGCTCAGCCTAGAGAAGGCTCCAGGGAGACCTTAGAGCAGCCTTCCAGTACCTACAGAGTGCCTACAGGAAAGCTGAGGTATGACTCTTTGTCAGGGGGTGTAGTGACAGGACAAGGGGGAATGATTTTAAATTAAAAATGAGGGTAGGTTTAGATTGGATATAAGGAAGAAAGTATTCAGAGGGTGGTGAGGCACTGGGAAAGGTTTCCCAG